TAGCTGCAGCAAACCAGAGCTGTATCTTCAAACATATCTTTAGCAAATAAGGAAAGAATATTCAAGCAAATCAAGCAAGCTATAACTGCAGCAAAACAGAGCTGTATCTTCAATCATAGTTTCAGCAAAACAAAGCAGATTTGAACATGATTTGTAATGGATTTGAAGAGCTAATTGGAGACCAATTCATCAGAGTCTACAAAAAAAGAAGCCTACACACATCAAATAGGTTGGAGAGTCTTTCTTTGAGGCTGGGGAGCCTCTCTTTTAGAGAGAAGGTGGGCTTTTAGAGGAGATCCAAGTCGCGAAACACTTAGAGAGATTTTGAGGATTTGTTGAGAGAAATCCAATAGATCAAAGGGTGAGGCTAGGGTTTGATAGAGAGATTATTGAATCTGGTGGATCCCTGAACTATTCCTGCGGCTGAGATACGGTGGATGATGGCGGAGCCCATGGTTGCTGCGAGAGTCAACACCCCTGTTTATTTTATTTTGTCTTTATGGAATCTTTATCCCTATTTGTTATTTCTTTCTATTCAAGTATGAGTTAAATTGTTAGGATTGTGTGATAGAGTACCCTTGTTGTGATGTAATCAGTTTGACTAAACTTTGCTATATGATTATCCTTTTTGTTGTTTAATAAAATGCTTAATTTGTCTCGATTCTTGTTGATTCATCGAGAGAGAGCTACAAGATACTTAGAGTTTGGGTTATAAAGATATAGGTGAACTCATAAAGTTATTAAGCATTGTGGTTTAATTAATTTAATTGGTTAATTGTGGGTAGAGAGATCATTCATACCACAAAATCAAATGGAACTTGAACTTAATGGATTCATAATTATGTTGGCCATAGAGATATGTGAACTAGTATACATGTATTGTTGGTGAAAGCCCTTGCATGCATGGGTGTTCTGATTGGATAATTTATATAGCATTACTACTGCATTCTGATAAAATTGCAATATTGGAAAAATTGATCCCAATCTTCTTTATTACTTGACTTCTCTATTCTTGAGTGCACTCTTAGTTTATTTTTACTTTGCTTTTAGTTATTAGTCAGTAGTTTACTTTAGTTCTTAATTCACAAAATTTTTATAAATATTGTTACTTTTATTGCTTCACATTGACCCTAACTTTATAGTTTCTTTCGTGGGAACGATATCTGGACTCACACATCCACTTTATTACTTGTGATACGTGCACTTGCGTTAATGTGTGATTGATAAAAGGGTTACACAATTGCACAACACTTATCTTAACTATTATTCATTTATCTTAAGTCCTATCTCCCAGCCCTAATTCCTTCTCATGTGCGCCACTTCTCAATTTTCACTCTTGTATCTCACTATCGTCTTTGCTCTTTGCGCCGCTTCTCAGTTCTCACCCCAATTCCTTCCTTGAAGCACTAACTCATCCATTAGAAATTCTAGTTAGAAAGAAAAGAATTTTAGGTCTTGTTCTTATCCTAATTTATTGGTTTCATCTTGTTCTTATAAATTGTCATAATTGGTAGGCCTAGAAGGCCTATAGGCTATTTATTTTTTGACAGTAGGCCAGACCTGACCTATAAGCCACGCCTTTAATAGGCTAATAGGCCAGATATACTCAACCTATTTTTACGTGGGCCTAGGCTATGAAGGCTAAAGCCTAGCCTAACTTAGCCTATTTACACCCTTACTTTCACCCTCGTAGCCATCAGAGAGATATATTCCATAGAGGTACCCAAAACGCTATGTGAATAGAGGCATCTTGTAGAATGGAGGAATGATGAATCTTTCATTGTTGAAGTGCTAGAAGAGATTGCAAAGTCATGAGCAGCTTTTAAAAGCAAATGAGCCTTATAAAAGGGGCTTATGTTTGTGGAGGGAAAATTATGGACATTATTTGTCAAGTCGAGGTTAGCCCCAAACACTCATGACTCCACTATGAATTGGAACATGGAAGTCATTATCTATTGCATTTTGAAAAGAAACGTCATGGATGTCTGTTCTATCATCCATCAAAGTTTTAAGCAAGACCTTAAAGAAGGGAAATTTTTCTTCCCTTGTTTGGTTACTACACTGTGTGAAAAAGCAAGGCTAAAAGCCCTAGAGTCCACTTCTGAAGATTTGATTGTGGGACAATCAATTTCAAGCAACACACTATAGACCATTTAGAGCAAGGACAAAGAAGATAAGAGAATGGGTAGTTTGAGACTACCCATCCAAGTGTTTGATGCTGAGGAAGAAGAAAATGACCCACCAGTTCAGCAGAGAATAGAGAATGAAACTGCTGAGAAAGAATAAGAAGAAGAATGAGATGAAGAAAAGGAACCACTGTCAAAACAAAAGGAACATGTGAATGGAGAGAAAAGCAAAAAAGAAAGAGTTGGAGCAAAAGGAGAAGGAACAACTAGAACGAAAAAGAAAAGGAAAAGTTGTGGAACACCTAGCTACAGAACAGGCAATGAAGAAAATGAGAAGGGATTCTCTCTAGAAATTTCACCAGGCAACTTTTTATTAAAGGAACCCTTAATGGAGGAACTGCTGGTAAAACTTGGAAGAAGTGCTCAGAAAATTTATGTATAGTTAGACACCTGTATCCCACTAGGATCACGAAAGATCCTAATCTCTTTAAAGATTTTCTGGAGGTATTACATATCACCTACCAACAAAGTACTCACATCGACCAACGAGATTTGAACTCATGTCTTTATAAGTTATGAACCAAACTCTTGGCCAATTGTGCCCTCCTTTGTTGGCAACATAACATTGATTTTAATGTGGGTTTAATACTTATGAGTTAATCCAAGTCATTTAATACTTAAGACTCAAATAACAAACAAAATTGAGTTTGATGGTGTTTCTAATGTGGGTTTCTTTATTAGTTAAAGAATAATATAGTAATACAACATATTCACACACATAAAAAACACCGTATTATTGAAATGCTCTATGAAAGAAATAGTTAAGTTTGGTTGGAGGACACAGCCTCCTTAATTGTCATCTTCTATTTTTATTTCTTTTATTCTTAAAGGTTGGCTTTCTTGGAAGGAATCAAAAGTGTGTTAAAAGAGGAGGGACCACATATAATTAAGGAAGTAAAGAAGAAAGATATCCAACCAGCGATCGCACCCACTTAATTAGATCACTTATGTGTTTATTAGTTTATTTTTATTTTTTTGTGACAATTAGATCACTTATTTTATTCAGTTTATTATATGTTAATTCTAATTCCCAATAAACTTTTTTATTCATTGTTCTTTTGAAATTATAATTAAGAGAAACAGTTAATTCTTTAATTAAAATATAATAATTAATTAAAATGACATCTAGTGTATTTAAAAGTTATTTGATTTTGGATTGAATATCATTGAGTAAAGTGAAGACGGATAATCATGAAACATATTAATGCTATAGAAATTATTCAATCATAGTCCAAAAATTTCTAAATCTAAGATTCATTAACCCATCAACTAAATCAAAGAAAAAACTTAATCACATCTAATCAACAAAATTTCATCTGTGTAGAGCTTCATATTTCATTACAAAAAAAAAAACTATATTATCGTTTGTTGATGCTTTTGTATTTTTTTAAAAAATGTACAAAGCCAATATATATAAACTATGTTATTTGCACAAAAATCATGAAACAAATTTTAAGATTTTCAAAAAAATCAAAAATTGATCCAATCCAAACCGAAAAAAATTGGATCGGATTGGATCGAATTTGAAAAAAAATCCAAACCAAATGGATGATTACATGATTGGACCGAAGGAATTGGATCCGATGATTTTTGCTTCCAAAATCAATCCAATCCAGACCGCGAACTCCCTAATACGTGGTTAACATAAAACATTTTTAATAACATGTCAAAATATAATTGGTTAATATTGTAAAGCCTTACCAAAAGAGGTTGGTTCAAGGGGTTACATGTTTGATTTCACTTAAACAAGATATTAGGTTTAAGTCCTTTTGAATGCAAAAAATTTTCTTTGTAATTTATCCGCAAAAGATATTGTAAAGCCTTTTACTTGAATAAAATTTAAAGTGATTGGCTATAAAAGAAAAATTAAAGTGATTTATTTTTTTTATAGAAAAACGTTTAAGTTGAGAAGAGACTCTTCTCATTTCAAAATTAAGTCAAACCATCAATTTAAAAAAAAATTATAATTCTATTTAAACCCAAACTATATAATTATAATGAAGAAAACATTAATTAGATGAGTCAACTCCATTAATAATTTAAATTCTAATTTTTAATCCTGCAATTATTATAATGTCGTCGATTTAAGAATTTGCCTCCCATAAAATAAAAAGTACATTTCAAATGATAAAGTGTAGATTTATAATTATTAATTAAAAAAATATTACAGATCTATGATAATAAAATACATGCATAACATACATAATAAATTATATTGTTACTAAAATCTACAACCGTTGATTTTTTAATCAGCATAAATATAATTTTATACTGTATCAGTTAAAGTGCACTCCATAATTTACATGAATCAAATATTTATATTATCATAAGGTCCCATCCATACGTTTGGTTAAGTTAATGACTACATTAACATAATAATGTTATATTTATAAAAAAAAATTTTACAAACTATATTATATCTTCAGTCAAAAATATATAATTGATCAGACTTAATTTAATTTGTAAAAGAAACCTTCCGTGGATTAACATACTTATTAAATCATCTATCAATGTATTTTTATTTTTATCTTAATTGGGTAATTACCTATACACGAAACTTCTCGATATAGGGATGAAAGTTGATCGTACCCGAAATTCTTTCAAATATATGCTTCTAATTATAAAAATTCTAATTACTCATAATAATTTTTTTGTAAAAAAAAAAAAAACACTTAAAATTAGTCCTAATAAAAAATACAAAGATGTAAAGCTATGAAAGTTTGGAAGAACAAGGAGATTTGGTTACTATATAAACGGATGCCATTGCTACACCCCGCGGAAAGCTGTATCCCTTTCTGTCTCTGTTTTCCGCGGAAAGCTCTATCTCTTCTTTGCCTTTGTTTTCATTCTCCTGAAACAAGAATCTCTTCCTCTATCTTTTCATCTCTCTGCAAAAGGGGTAAAGGCTTTGAACCATTTTGTTGTTTCATTCTGCCATTTAGAGGTACCCCACCCCATCTTGTAAAAAAAAAAAAAAAAAAAAGAACCATTATCATGAAGTGGTTTTCTTGAAACTTGAAACTTGAAAACTATAACATCAGAATCTTCATTTTAGCAATTGTTTAACCCAAAACAATACACATGTGTGCCAAACCTCTCTCATGCAAGAGCTTTCTTTTTTCCTCAGCTCAATGCTTATGAAAGCTTCTCCATCTTTTCTATTTGAAATTTAGAGAAAGCATAACCCGGGTATGATATGAGTATGACCCATTAATGTTTCCATGGTTTTGGTTTCGTTATTTTTGTTTTCATACACCTCAAGTTTCTTAATTGACAACCTTTGTTTTGATTCTTCTATGTTTCCTTTGTGTTCTTCAAGTTTTTTTTTTTTTTTGTTTTCTAGAATCTATGTCGTCTGTTCCAGCACGAACGGGGCGACAAAGACAACGTTATGAAGATAATCTGCGCCTTGTTTCTGGGTAAGTTTTCCATTTTAAGGCCATGACTTCTCTACCTTCAAAATCTCCTCTTTTCCCTTTTTGTCCCTTACCACCCCTTTGCCTTATGACTCGTTTTTGTTATGTCCATGCATTATTTGGTTCCAATTCTGGATATTGATGCATCTGCGTCTGTCTATGCTGGGTTACCATTTATCTTTGGTGTTTCCTTTTTTTCTTCTTTCTCTTTCTCTGCTTTTGTCTCGTATACAAATAAAAAAATAAAAAAAAAATTAATAAAGGGCATCTCAAAACTATGTCTACATGATTGTCTCCTCTGTTTGATATTAAACTATATGTTTATATTTCATGCGGATGTGTCCATCACAATAATAAATAGTGGGCCATATCATTGACTTAACGTTTATAAAATAAAATACTTCAAATCGCGTGATCTATTTTGGCTTTTTTTTATGATAATATAAAACTAGGACAATTCCGATAGTTATCGGTAACAACACCATTGTGGGCTGTGGCATGCATAGCAGTTAACTGGGGTAGTAATATTGTTTATAAAAATGATTAAACTGTTGTTTTCTTCCCCAAAATCCAAGTCCTTGAAAGAAGTTTCTTGTTGTGGGCTGGATTCACCCCACTATTAGCAGTTGCAGGGAAATTTCGGATCTGTTCCTTTTTTGAATGCTTGAATGAGAATCATTGATTTCTCATTTTTAAGGCATTGAATATATCAAAGTAGACTATATGTAAAAGAGAGGAAAAGGGATTAAACTAGCGAAAGCCATTTTTGAAAATTTTAAACCTTTTGGCTTTTCAAAAAAAGAGAAACGACAAAGCGGTCAGTGGGGTTGTTAAAACAAAGATTTTTAAATCTTGCTTAGACAATATAACATTTTACATTTGCTCTTCATTTTTTTAATGTTAAACAGTACATGGGATTTTTTGGCCAGGTTAATCTAATAGTAGTTCACAGACCATATTGTTAAGAGTAGAAAGCATATGTAAAGAACCTTATAAACACCACATTAGTTGCACATACAACTAATGTGGGACTATATATCTCAACACGCCCCCTCACACGAGAGTCCATTGGGCTTGAAGAGTGGACAATGCAACAGGCCCAACCTACCTGTGCTAAGAAACTCCACAAGAGAAAGTGGGGGGTGGCGAGGCTCTGATATCATGTAAAGAACCTTGGGATATGGGAAGCGAGGCTCTGATACCATATAAAGAACCTTGGAATACACCACCCCAAAAGCTAGCTCAAAGGGTGGGAGTGCCCAAGACTTTATAAACTCCATGTTAGTTGCACATACAACCAATGTGGGATTATATATCTCAACAACATAAATTATGTAAACAACCAATTCAACCCAAAAGCTTAAGTTTAAGGTTTTGGGTTGAACTGGTTCTTTATATGGTATCAAAGCTTAAGTGACCATAAGATTGCAAGTTCGATCTGCACCGCCCCCCACTTTCATGTGGAATTAAGAAAAGCACAAGGCAGACCAAAAAAATGGACTTATGCAGCACAAGGCAGACCAAAAATGGGCTTGTGTCATATCCACGCTTCAAGCCCAAAGGGCTCTTGCGTGAGGGGGTGTGTTAGAGAATAAAATATAAAATATTAAAAAGACCATCACCTGTAACCTTAAAGTTTTGAGTTGAAGTGGTTCTTTAACAAACTACAACAGACCTACATCTTACATCACAAGATGATAATTTAGTATTATAAATTGAGAATCATGTTTTGAACATCTAGTAGGATCCATTACCTCAAATTCTTGCACACCAAGATTATATGCACCTAAGAAGAATCAATAAGGTTGCTTTTATGATAAATAATATATTCTTGATACCAAAGATCACACTTTCACACCAGTGCTAATATCTGTTTTGGAGTTCTGAATGTTGATACAATCATAAAACCACTCCTCATAGGGAGAGTAAGGGTGAAGACACTTCTTATATGTAGCTTTACCACTGCTCCAGGCTAGCCTTTTTAATGTTGATACAATCATATTCTGATAAATATTCGGAGATCATTTTGAAAAGTAACCATTTTTTGCAACATATAGATTTTGAATTGAGACTGCTGAACCCCCTTTCAGCCATATATAATTTGCTAGTTGAGTTTTGAGGATTGACATTTGATGAGATTTGCAGCAGAATGTTATCAGCCTCATGATTTAATTAAATTTTCTTATGCAATCCAACAGATGTATTCCATACAGATGGAGAAAGGACAATAAAGATCAAGTGGGAGAAACTGAGGGGATAATAGAAGTACTTATGGTTTCTTCACCAAAACGTGATGACCTTGTATTTCCAAAGGTACTTGATATTTTTCTGCACCAATGACCTTCATCAGCATGAAACCTTCATATTGAAAAGATTCACTTTCTTTTTGTGCCAGGGTGGATGGGAAGATGATGAGACCGTTACAGAAGCTGCTTGCCGTGAAGCTTTAGAGGAAGCAGGAGTTAAAGGAATACTAAGAGTAAGTTCAATTTCCCTCTATGTTATTGAAGTATTGGTTATAGTCCACCATGGTATGTTTAAGCATACCAATTAGAATGACAGAACAAAGGTAATAATCGTATATTTTTCCATAATCCATATATGAGATGATGATCATGAAACATGATATCATTCAAACATTTTGGCTATGCCATAAATTTCCCATGGCCTTTGATCTTCCTTCTGTAAATTTTCAGACATGCGTAAGAAAATCTTAACCATCTAGGAAAAATATCACACTTAACTCTCTGATCTCAAAAAATAATATAAAGCTGTTAGTGTTTACAAAATTATCAAAACTAACCTTTATTGGCTGCAAACTTCTTTGCAATGGTTTGAATTGCAATGCAATCTATGCACTTATACTGGAATTCCATGTCTACGTTAGACTCAACTTTGATTTAATCAGATGGGAAAAGTTATGGCATTTGACATTTTGTATTTGGAGTACATTTTGGTCATGAACTTGTTGGATAAACTTCTCTAATAGCTCAGATTTTGCATGAAGTTTCATTCTAGTCACCTAGTTGAGCCCCAAACTAGTAATAGAATGTACGTCCTCCTAAATCTTCTCTTCTTGCACTTGATCAAAGATAGAAGGTTTAGACTTGTACATAAACATAATAAGTCAAGTATGAAACTTGCTGCCATATCATGAAGCATTAACCGCAGATATAACTGATTGAAAATCAAGTTAACAGCACATTACCAGCACCTCATTTTCACACTGGTTACTCAAAATTAACTGATTGAAAATGGAAATGATTCTTCCATGTAACAATCTTCTATTGGGATTGGGATGCAGAGAGATAATGTTCTTTCTTGCAATATGATCTACATGGTGTTGAGTTTGATAAATCTTCTTATACTAATTGACTCACTTTCATTTTCAGGAAATTCCATTAGGAATATGGGAGTTCAGAAGCAAAAGCAGTCAGGATTTATGTAGCATAGAAGGAGGCTGCAGAGGATACATGTTCGCCTTGGAAGTGACTGAAGAACTTGAGACTTGGCCAGAGCAGACAAACCATGCTCGCCAATGGGTATGTGTTCTGAATAAATCCTTAGAAGAATTACATAAATCAAATCAATCACATTGTAGAGGGTGATCCTTGAGCAGGAGTAAAGTTGCTCCTTGTGATCGGAAGGTCACGACCACGGGGTCTAGTCTAGGAAACAACATCTTTGCAAAAATGCAAGGGTAAAGCTGTGTACAATCGATTATCACCCCTGCTCTCGCAAGTCAGAGAGCCTTTTGCACCTGGTGATTTGTCCTTTAGATCATCACATTGTAAATGAGTAAATGTTAGGAATAAAATCCTTAGGAGAATTTACATAAATCAAATTGTTAATAGTGTTACAACTACTAGACCTGCATAAATATATTGCAATTTGTACTTTTTGACATTACATGAAGCATAGTAGTAGAGTGTATATACATTCAGAGAAATATCTTTAACTGAATCAAAGTGCATATTTTATCTTCTTAGTTAAACATAAAAGAGGCATTTAGACTCAGCCGATATGACTGGATGTGTAATGCCCTGGAGGAGTTTATGAGAGTTATGGAAGAGGACAGAAAGCGTGAGAAGCAAGAAGAAAATGTTGATCACCCTTCAATTTTAGTAGCAGATGTATCAGAATGTCAAAGTATGTCACCAAATTGCTATAAAAGATCCTCTACTATGCAGCACCATGCTATGCCTTCTAAAGCCAATCTCATGTCACGTGCTTCCCGAGAGATAGCCATCCACTTTGGTTATTGACATCATCTGAAGTCTGAACGCTTCATATGGATCAATGTTGTGCAGTAACTCCTTAAAAATTGATAAAGAACAAACTGTGAAGTAATGGCTTGGATGCACTTGCATGCCATTGACTTCATTGTTGTAGGATCTTCTTTCTTTCTTTTTCTTTCTTTCTTTCTTTCCCCAGTGATCATGATGTAAAATGTGGTGGTGAAAGTATCAAGTGTATATGGACTTGATATTTATTTGCTTCACCCCACTATTCTTGAAAAGGCTTGTAAAAATAGCAGCATTTATGAAAATTCGGTGGTGTCACAAATGGCAAAGACGATGCTTCAATTCATAATCTTCTAACGTGTCACTTTTCACGCAGCACTATTGATTTTATTCAGTGGCTGTGTTTTCTATGAAATTTATATCTAATTTGTCTCTCTCTAAGTCATGAAACCGATTGAACCCTTGACTAAGGCATGCCTTATAATCTTGTCACAGAATTTTCAGGATAAAACTTGGTATCAGTAGAAAAATATTGATGAAGAGCATTAAAGAATTTGAAAGGATCAAACTTGCACAAAAGACAAAGAACGAGCTTTAGAGCAGACAAACTTAGGCTCTTTGACTCATTTGGACTCTTCTTGCATTGTATTATCTCGTTTGGTATTGGGCTTTAGATTCCGCCCCCTCACCCCAGCGATTATTTGAATTTTGAATTTTCCCCTTGTAACTGGTTAGAATTACTATATTTTTTTCTTACTATCTATTACTAGTAAATCTTAACTGTTGATTTCTGTGAATCTAATAGTTATAATTTATTAGAAATTAATAATTAATTAATAAGTATGACTCAATAAATTATAACCATTAGATTGACAAAAATTGATGATTAAGATTTAGTAGTAAAAGATAGTAAAAAAAAGAAGATAATAATTATAACCTTCATTTTTTAAAATAAAAAATAAAAAATTTGTTCCGCAACCCCTCTAGGCAACTCGGGCAAACGTGCCACTTGGCACAATTCTAGCCATTCTTCCCCTATAAATAATCACACATCCCTAAACTCTCACTCGATGCATTATTTATCTTTTAATTCTCTGACTCTTTCTCATTTTACCACTTAACATTTTATTTTTCTCTCATTCTCTCCATCCAAGTCAAGATTTCTTCACAATCAACCTCTCTATATTTTTAACTCCAAGCAAAGGTTAATACATATTTACTACTCTCTCTTTTTTAGCAATATTCTAATGATGAATTAGATAGTAATTATATTTAAGTGATTTATTTGTGTTTAGAGATTTTACATGCTACTTAGTGATTAGATATTAATGTTTAGTTTGTTAATAGTGTAATTTAAAATATAAAATTTGTGGTTAACATTTAGTTATTGTTTTAATTAGTGAATAATTGTGATAATATTTTAAATTAATTTTTTATGGTTATTCTAACATAGGCATGTGTAATTAATTATGTTTAGAGATTTTACTCAATAATTAGTGATTTCTGATTAATTTTGAAATTGTTAATAATTTAATTTAAAATATTTAATTTGTGATTAATATTTAGTTTTTTTTTTTTTTTGTATCCTATTTAGTTATTGTATTAATTAGTGAATAGTTGTGATAATATTTTAAATTAAAATTTTATTGTTATTCTAACATAAGAAAGGATAATTAATTGTGTTTAGAGATTTTACTCAATACTTAGTGATTAGTAATTAATTTTTACTGTGTTAATAATGTAATTTAAAATATTTTATTTATGATTAATATTTAGTTATTGTTTTGATTAGTTAATAGTTGTGATAATATTTTAATTTTTATTGTTATTCTAAAAATTTTACTATGGCTTTTTGTTTGGCTTTCCAAGCTTTTCGATAACATTTTAAATCCATGTAGTCTAGAAATTTTCTCATGAAAGAGCACAATACTAATTAATAAATCCAGCTGAACCATGTCTAATAAACAAAAAAAAAAAAGATCCATTAAAAATCAAGTATTGAATTAGCCTTATTTTTCATAAACAAACACCAATATTTTAAGCAGTTATACTTAGAATGCACGAACAAATGGAGTTATAATCGAGCTGTCTGTGGTCATGCGAAAGATAAGGGTTCACACAAATGTTTTTGCCTCCCCATCTAGTAACAATTCACTTATCTCGCCACCTCGATAACAAAGCTCTAACCCTCCATGGATAGCCATTAGCATGATTAATGCATTTCATATGTAGCTTATTGTTTTTGCTTTCCTCCACTAAAGCATTATGGTATACCTTCATACAATAACATTTGATTGATGTTTGTACCTCTTCCTTACTTTCAAATTCTTGATTAACATACAATTCATTTTCTAATTGCTAAGAACCATCACTGCTTCCCTCAACAACAATTGGTTCTTGATCTGGATGATCCAAATTAATATAAGTATAGTGTGGACTAGCATTCCCTAATGGAGTATTAGATTGACCTACGCATACTTACACTCTATCACATTCAAATAACAGATGAATATAAAATGTAAAATAAACAAATCACAACGTTAAATAACTAACAGGTCATCAAGATGACATTCTGGACATTATTGACGTCCGTGCCAGAATCAGAGATAGTACCTTCAAAAGGAACTTCTTCGTATTCTTCTTCATCTGAGGCACCCAAATCAGCATCCATATGAGCTGCGTCGTCTTCATCCTACACATATGTATTCAACTAGTGATTTGGTGGAGCATCATAATGTGGCAAATTATATCTAATGACTCAATTGGCAATAAAGAACTACCTGCAGAGGCAATGTCATCATACAACTCAAGAATTGTCATTGCAGTCTGTTGTTGAAAAGACAGTTGTTGAAACACACTGAACATTATATCAATATTGTCATCATTAGCAATTTTCAGGGCATCAAATTTTTCCATTATACGATAATGGCCAGTTACCAAGACACAGACTGATTGAGATCGAACTTCAATTTATCTACAATCTTTGACTTCAGATCGTGCAAGGTGATCCTTCATCGTATTGTATTCCTTTGGTTTGTCCCTCAAATGTCCATCCTACACCACCTTCATATTTCTACCATTGTGATATATGATTGTATAAACTGAATCCATTATATAGAAGAGAATAGGAAAAAAATGAGAGAATAAAAGGTGAGGACATTATAAGTATGAGGGAATGAAAGGGGTGGAGGGGTATTTGTATAAAGGGGGAGTCGATTGTGCTATTGAGGGCTATGCTAGTTCACCAGGGGGTCACGAAACTGCTTTTTTCTTTCTTTCAAAAATCAATTCCCAAGGGGGTTGGGGCAGAATTGATGGGGGAAATTCAAAATTCAAACAGTTCTACAAGGTACCCTTTGCATAACTATTTTCAAAAGAAAAAAATGGAGCTTCGTGGGTGATGTCCATAAAACTTTCACTAGAAGAAAATAAAAAAGAAATCCTGCGAGGGCTAGAGGGCAGAATCAAACGCCCCCAATGAAAAAAAAAATTCAACCTAATATCAAACGAGATAATACTATGCAAGAAGACCCCAAATGGGTCAAAGAGCCAACGAACTTAGAATCACATGCTTAAAATGAATAGATGGTATCCTATTGCCAAATAAGCAAACAACTTAAGACAATCAAACCAATTTTCTCATAGTGTTAGTATCAACAATAACAAAGAAAATTCATATTATAGATTTATGACATATTAAAATCTTACATTTAATTCATAAGGGAATGGTCCATTCATTACATTGAAGATCAAATACTCTATGGGCTTGTGGTTGGTCTTAGATATGTTATCATATCATGCTCTTATCCCTTTTTTTAGTAGAATGCTCTTATCCATTGTTTGTTGAACCAACAATATATAATAGGCTTATCCTGAGGGATCATTTTATTCTGTTCGGGATAAATTATCCTAATAGTAGACTCAGTAAGAATGAAGGATAGCAAATCACATCAATGTACTCTTCTCCAACAAAATTTATTGTCCGCCATCGGCTACCTCTACCACCCACTCTACCTCCACCAGTCATCAGTCAACTACCCATTGCCACCACCGCTACTTCTACTTGCCATCACCACATTAACCACCACCACTAACTAGCCCACCTTGAGCCACTGCCACCACTGCCATCAGTTAACTCCATAATTGTCGCCAGTCATTGTCAGTGTCGTCACCTCCATTCATTGCGACAAACCCGCACGACTACCACTTCAACCAGCCACCTCTACCTGTCACCACCACTAGCCACTGGTCAACAATATTAACAATCAATTTAAATTTTTTAAAAAAAATTATTTGGTGATAATATAATTGTTTTTTTTTAATTTTTAATTTATTAATGTATTTTAATATATTTTATTTAAAATCATGACTTTTAAAAAAAATTTAATAATTGAAATAAGGACTAATGTGTAAATAAGTAAAAAAGTAGTTTAAAAATCATTTTTAAAAAATTATATGGAATATATTAAAAAATAATATTTTTGTCTATTTATATCATATTGTGACACAATATGATTCGTCTCAAACACATGATAGAGTATGAGCTTATGACTTATGATTAGGGGTGGTAAACGAGATTTACATGTCTAAAATCAGTTGTTGGAACCAGACTTGAATTTGTATAAAAGCTCGTTTAATAAAAAGGCCTCAGACTCCAATTCAAAAGCTCGGTCTTATAGCCTCTCAGGCGGGCCTAGTATATAACTTTTATTTTTATTTTTATTTTTTATACTATTCATAATAGTCATATCTCTCTCTTAAACCCATTTCACCAAATTTTATTGGTTAAACAGACCTTTCAAATGATTTGTTCTATATTATGTTGTTTCTATGTATATTGAATTTATGAATCTTTATGGAATTATTAGTGTTGTTGATCATATATTTTGTTTTGATAAAAAAAATTTGTCTTATTTTTTTAACATGCTAACAGGCTAAACCAAACTTTTATTTTTTATAAATAAATTAGATTACAGGACAATAATTATATTCATAACAGGTAACAGGTTAGGACAGACTGAAATATTTAAACACAAGCTTAGCATTTTAAGACCAAAGTTTGGCCCAACTCGGCCCGTTAACACCCCTACTTATGAGGTCCATATCATTTCCTACTCTTATTCAGTCCTTTTATACTATACCTTTGTATCTTGTCCTATCATTACATTAAACACACCCTATAACTTCATAAAAGAAGTCATTGTGACAAAGGAATAGATTTTCTAATATGACTAAGTCATGTATAATGATTTTAATCATTCGTAGACAAATCAATGTGATGAGAGATAAAGATAAAAAAATGTTGAGATAGAAAGTAATA